GTAATCCGATGTCATGAGCTGATTTTTGGTAGTTATCAGCATATTGGTGTGCATGTAAACATGCTCACTGGTAAGAAACAGGGAAATCGGATCAGGACATCATGTAGGTCGAATTTGAACCTGCATTTCCCACATTAGCACCAAATCTTGACATATCTGTAGCACACGCGTTAGTCACTAAGCCACAGCTTTGGTTTGCCTGTGTTTTCTATTTGTTTTCCGTAAATCTGCACTGGTGTATAACTCTCAGAGCTCACAAGAGGTTTAACAGGCAGGAATCTTTGATAGACCAGATGGCTAAACAGATAGTTGCCACTGGTCAGCCTCGGTTTAACCTCCATGCGATTTCATTGTGTGTGTGTTTGTTTGTATTTTCCATTCTGTATTTGCACATTTATTTGCTCATGATAATTTGCATATCTAACACACTGGCTATTTTAGATGCTTTCATAACAATGCTGATTAGGGTTGCACTCTCTTCCTCATAGTGACCCATCACTCTTTTTTTACGTACATGTGTCCAAATGCATTTGAAAGCAGTTACTGACGTCACTGAACCCAAGGCGAGAGTGCATTGCTCTGTGTGTGTGTGTGTGTGTTATGAGACTGTGTGTCCCCTAAATGACCCCGGCCCTCAATCTGGCTCCAGGCACTTTATTAAGGGATTAACGGGCTAGTGGTTGTCAGTGTCCCCGTGTGCCATTGCCTCCTCCAGCTCCTGACACCTGGGCACACTACTGACCCCCCCACCCCCCAAACACACACACACTCAGACACTGTAAAGATACACTGTACTCACACACAATCTAGGTCAGAGCCAGACAACAACACTCCAACAGACCCTGCCCAATAACGCTGGCTGTTAACGGGAGGGGTGGAGGTCACCAGGCCTACCCACAATCTCCTGCTCCCTCGTCTCCGGCCAGACTAAATTCATATGATTACACCCCCTCGTCCTCCCTCCCCAGCTGTCTGATCAAGCGCGGTCACCCTTGAAAAGCATATGCCATCTACCGCTCAGCTGTACATACTGTCAGACGTCTGATCTGATAAGAGGAACAGGCTAAACGTTTTTCTACCCTCCTTTTTTCTCCAGTCTAAACGTAGGGAGCGGACCTCTTTGTTTTTCTGTATCAGAAAGGCTGAGTGAGTTTACAAGAGCTGGTTTTCATTAAAAGAACTCTGGCGTTCCTATGAGCTGACTGACTTTCTGTCTTTCTTGTCCTGTCGTGGCGCTTGCATGTTTTTTAGGCTAACCATAGAAAGTCCTTGTAACCTTTAGAAGTTTGTAAATGTACTGTCAAGTTCAACCCTCACTGTCATGTTCTGCTTTATACCACAGCACTTTATAACTGCAAATATTCAAAAACAAAACATAATCTCGCCAGTTAACTGGCTTAATCTGTGTTTGGTATTTGTTTGACTGGCCCAAATGAGATCTTCTGGTTCACTTTTTTTTAAAAGATGGACTAGGAATTTATTGTATTGGGAGGTCTTTTTTGTACTCTTTCTTTTTGAGTTTGGCTTATGGAGCAGTGAGTAAGAAAAAACCCTTCTGAGTCATTTTGACCAGATTTCAAACCCTTTTTTTTTTTGAAGCCAAATTATAGACATCTGCTTCAACTTTAACCGCCTTTGGTAACAGCCTTATCTCAATGATGCCCTTGTCTCTGTAGCAGTTTAAAACTCAAATGAGTCACAAAATGGACAACCAGGCTCAAATTTAAATATGTTGCACATGACAGTGAGTTGACGTCTGTGCTTCCTTTGGCCAGGGGGCTTATGGGTTACAAAATCTTGCTTCTTGGTTTTGCACAATGCAGAAAATGTGGGTGATTACCAGGTCCAATTCAAGAGAGCCCCACCCCCATAACTTAAAATGGGGCCTTAACATAAAAATATAAAATTTTTATGTTATGGCTTATTAATAAAGTGAAGTGATTTGCCATATGATTGTTTTAAAAAATTTAATTTAAAGGGGTCATATGATGCTGCTGAAAAGAACATTATTTTGTGTATTTGGTGTAATGAAATGTTTATGCGGTTTAAAGTTAAAAAAACACATTATTTTCCACATACTGTACATTATTGTTTCTCCTGTATGCCCCGCCTTCTGAAACGCGTCGATTTTTACAAACCTCATTGGTCTGAAAAGCGAGGTATGCTCTGATTGGCCAGCTATCCAGAGCGTTGTGATTGACCGAATACCTCAAGCGTGAGACGGAAATCTTACGCCCCTCACCATACTGTGATGATGCCGTCAGTACAGAGCGACGATTCAAAAACATGAAAACCCATTATAAACGAGGCATTCGTTGCATCC